AGGCGGGGGTGCGGGGTCGTCGTTTGGAAACATGTCAATCCACATGTGCAAGGAGCCCTGAGGAGACAGCAGAGACTTCAGCAGACAGGACAGTCCTCAGCTCAGGGACCAAGGGCTTGGTCCTGCCAGGGAAGCTCTCTCCATGCCCAGGGTGACGTGTGACTGGATTTTAGAGACGGGGAAAAAATGAAAGCTACCAAACCCCGCTCCTTGCCCCCTACCCTGCTGCCCGTGAGAACCATCTCAGCTGAACTGGGTTTGCTTCAAAGAGACAAACATGTCCCTCTGTCTTGGCAAGGAGCCTACAAGAAGGCAACTCTCCAGCATGCCCAAGGAAAGGGATGAGTCTGACCCTCCCCAGACGTGTTTCCCATCTGGCCAAGGCCAGATTGCAGAGCTCTGCTTTGTCACTGACTTCCAGCCCCTGAGGGGACAGGAGACAATGGAGTGGCTGAGCAGATCTCTGCCCTGGAGACAACCCAGCAGGAACGTGTCTTCTCCAGCCAGCAGTTACCTTGTGCCCCCAGGGAGAAGCCAGGGGAGCAAAACGGGGCTTGTGCAGGGGAGCACAGCAGAGGTGACAGGGGACAAAGCAGGGGAAGAGTGGGAGCAGGCAAGGACACTGCCAGCCACCGTGGTGCCTGGTGGCAGAGCAAGTCCCTGGGCAGCCACACAGCATCCTCATCAGGCAGGGCTGCAGGGCCTGGGGAGACTGGGCCACCAGCCTTGTGACCACAGCAGTGATGGACAGAGGGTGCTCAGAAGCACCACGAGAGGTCAGGGGGTGGATCAGGGCCAACAGTCCTCACTTGGTCGTAGGGCCACCCCCCCAGGAAGGGATTCATGCCAGGATGAGGAGACAAAAGGACAACAGGGACCAGCCAGGGGGCTGGGAACCAGCTGCCCCAAAGGTCCTTCCTCAGAACAATGTCCAGGCTGGGCAAAGAAACACATCTCACCTGCACAAGCCCAGGGTTCTCCGGGTTGTACAGAGACCGAATCTCCACATGCTCTGGCACCAGCTTGTACCCGTATCTTGGCATCTCCTCCCAGTGCTGCAGGACGTACAGAGCCTTATGTTCATCATCCACTGACCAGTTCTCATCTGTCCTTCCTTTCTTGTTCCTCACAGAGGCATCTGTAGCAGGACACAACCAGGTAGAAGATGAAGACATCTGGCTAGCAAGAGCCACACCAGGACATGAGCCCCAGGCAGGAGGAAGGGAACGTGAGGGACTGAGCAAACAAGCACCTCCCCAGGAAAACAAAATGGGGAGAAACAGGAGGGTGAGGATGAAGAGAATTAGCTCAATCCATTGCAGCGATGAGGATACTACAGGGAGGAAGGCAAACAACCTTAGAGAGGTTAGAGGAAAGGGGAAATAAAATAACTTGCCATCACCCTGGCAGAAGGATCATGAGGAAGATGTGACCCTCTCGGGACAGTTTCAGTCCCCATGTCCCTGTGGCAGTGGCAATAGACCCACAGATGAGAGGTTTTACCCTGGAAGTGCTCCAGGAAAGCACCACTTACCACTTGGCAGTGAAACACAGTTGTGCTCTCCACTAATTAACAGCCTACATGATTAATTGACTCAAGCTAAAGAGTTCAAGGGCAAATCCTGCTGGTGAGGAGAGAAATAAGAACCAACAGGTGAGGACACAAGGACCCACCCACCTCTGGGTTTATGAAGAACATCTACTCTTTGGAGATCAGTGTGGGACCAACATCCCAAGCAGTCCCCAAGCACAGCAGAGTTTCATGGGCACCAGCTGCAGCCACCTTTGAACCAGAGAAGGCTCTCAGGGGGACACCAGGAGAGAACCTCACTTCATTCCCAGCTGCCCAGTAAACACAGAAAAGGGGGAAAGGGCTTTTGGAAGCTCCTTGCCCTCTCCCAAACAGGATTTCTTTCCCCTTCATGCCACAGAGACCAGCAGAAAGCTGAGGAACAGCAGCACTGAAATTAGCAGAAGGTAAAGGTGGCCATACATGTAGGTGTCCTATCTCTGGGCAGATTTGGCACAGGGATCATCCTTCCTATGGGACACACAACATTGGCTTGCAGGGCCCAGCTTTCCACATCTCCCTCCTTTCCTCCAGGCTGGATTTAAGGGACACTGGAGGGAACTTGCACTGCAGGACTAGGCCTGTGCTCAGGGAAGTTCTCCGTCACTGCTGGCAGAGGGCAGGGAAGGTGGCTGTGTTCTTGGACAACCCTGGCCCTGGCTCTGTGGCATTACAAACACCAGTGAGAAGGAAAGAAGAGTAGAGGAGAAGCAGAAGCTGCCTAGAAGGAGGAAATCAACAGCAGTGAGGAGCAGCAGGGAGTCACTCAAGGCACCCAAAGCCACCAGAAGCAGAGAGCAGCCCTGCAGGACAAAGCCAGCTGAGAACAGGCCAGGAGGCTGAAGAGATTAAAAAAAAAGGAAAAAAACAAACCCAAAGGACATGAGTATCTTGCTGCTGGTGGTCACAAGCAGATGGAGGTGCAGCTTTGTGCCAGTGTCAGCCACCAGAAGAGGCTGCACAAGCCACCAAACCCCAGCACGTCTCTGCCATGCAGTTACTTCCCTCCACCCAGTGCCTGGGAAGACACTTTGGGACCTGCTGGCCTGGATCACATCTCCCCCGAGTGTGACCCCATCACCCTCTGAACACAGACCACTGAGCCCTGAGGACCCAGAGAGCTGGAACACCCCAGGGACAGAGCAGGGCAGCCAGGCTGGGCACTGCAGGGCGGTGGGTTCCCAGACCTCCCACAGGCAGCTGGTTAAGGGAGCAGATATTGTTCTCCAAGCCCACTGTACCTTCAGAAAAAGCCTCTGGAGGGATCTTGAAAATTTTATTGTCCACTTTAACCTCCTCCTGTCTGTACTCTGCTGCGGGGAGGGAGTTTTTCTTGCATAAACTATCCAAGATCTGTGTGGGCTTGAAGGCATCTCGCCACACGTTGTAGCCATTTCTGCATGGAAGGGAGAAAATCCAGATCATCTTCAGCTTGGACACAACAGGTTCTTTCACCCTGCCTTCCCTACAGCACAGCCTGCATCATCAGATCCTTGCTCAGATTTTCACTGGGAAGAGCACAGGCACACAAAAAGCTTAGAAACATAGAATCAGGAAGGTTGGAAGAGACCTTAAAGCTCATCCAGCTCCAACACCCCTGCCATGAGCAGGAACCACCAGCCCAGGCTGCACAAAACCTCCTCCAACCTGCCTTGAAAACCTCCAGGGATGGGGCATCAACAACCTCCCTGGGCTGTCCATTCCAGCTCCTCACCACCCTGAGAGTGAAGAATTTCTTCCTGATATCTGACCTAAATCTCCCCTCTCTCAGTTTAAAGCCATCACCCCTTGTCCTATCACTGTCTGCTCTGATGAAAAGTCGCTCCCCAGCTTTCCTGGAGCCCCTTCAGGCACTGGAAGCTGCTCTAAGGTCTCCCTGGAGCCTTCTCTTCTCCAGGCTGAACACCTCAACTCTCCCAGCCTGTCTCCAGAGCAGAGCTGCTCCAGCCCTTGGATCATCTTGGTGGTCCTTCTCTGGGCCCTCTCCAACAGGTCTAGATCTTTCCTGTGCTGAGGGCTCCAGAGCTGTGCACAGCACTCCAGGTGGGGTCTGACCAGAGCAGAGGGGCAGAATTCCCTCTCAGTCTGCTGGCTACACTTCTTTTGGTACAGCCCAGGATGTGGTTGGCTCACTGGGCTCCAGCACACACAATTATTGAAAAGCTTAATGAGCTCTCTCCTCCCCCTGAATTCTCCAGGCTCACACCCCACTGAACCATTCGCTTCAGAGCAGCAACAGGAGCAATTCCAGCTGCAGAGGGTAACTGGGAGAGAGGTTTTGGCACTGCTGGGGACTCAACTCTGTGCCCAAAGGTAATTCTCCAAGAGCAGGGTAGGAGAAGAGAAGTTTCCAAGGAACTGGCCAAAGACACCATAGAATCCACCCAGAATGAGGCCAAAAGAAAACAGGTGTCAGGAGTCCTGGTGCTCCCAGAATTAGCTGCCACCAAAGAAACCTCCCCTTTCTGAAACAGGTCAAAATCTCATAAGTCAGGTCAAGTGGGTGGTTTTTTCCCAGAACACCAATAAATAAATTTTTTTGCTTCTGTCTGCACAACATCTTAGTCCTCAGGAGGAATCAGAGCTATAGTCAAGTGGGTGGTTTTCTCCCAGAACACCAATAAAGAAATTTTTTTGCTGCTATCTGCACATCTTAGTCCTCAGGAGGAATCAGAGCTATCTCAGGAGGCTGGTAGGATTCTAAAGGAGATGTGACCTGTAGTGAATCGGTGGGGCAGCTGCTCAAAGGATATTGTGGCTGCAAAGCTGGAGGTGCTGCTCCCCACTCTCATGGGAGGTGAGAAGAGCAGTCTCATGGCCCTAACATGTCCCACCAGGACCTACATGTTGTACTGTGAAGCCACTCCACAGTTGGCCCTGTGCTTGCTGTAGAATCGGTTCTCCAAGTCAATCTTTGTCTCCCCAATCAGATCATCAGATCCAACCATATCATGGTCAAATATTGCCACGGTGAGTTCTGATTCCAGGGGAAAGGAGACTGTCAGCTCCACAACTCTGGACAGAAGCAGAAGGTGCAGAAGAAGAAGGTGCAATTAGCAAAGAAGATGGGAACAAGCCACATGCTTTGCTTTGACCATCCTACGCATTTAAGAGCTGTATGTGACAGCTCAAAGACACCTGATAGAGTCTGGTTCTCCTTAAGTTCCATGTGTGCAGTTTCCAATGTGCGTGGTCAAACAAAGCAGTTCAGAGGTCCTGGAGTGAGGAAAAAACCTCTCCAGTGCTCTGTTGCTGCTTGGCTTGTTACTTTGCCTGGTAAATCCAGCCCTTGGGAACACTCCCCTCCTCACCCAAAACACTTCTGGTCCCTGTGTCAGCCAGAGGCAGGAGACATGCCTGGGACCTTTGAGTTGCAGCACAAGATTCTCCAGCAGAAAGAGCAGACCACACATCCTGGGCCACACCCTGAGCCCCAGGTCTGCACCATTCCCATTAAACCTGGGGGAGTAAAAGTTCCTGCATACTCTCCAAAGACAGGGTTGAGCTGCTTCGGGATGTATCGCTCCTTGGTGTCCTTCTGCTCCTGCCCCACAGTCACCACCACGTAGGGGTCTGCCTTGCCATTGGGGTCTGCTGGAGACAGGTTTGTGGCCTGGAATAGACAAGAGGAACTACCAGCCATCAGCTGCAGAGAGCAACCTGCCCAAGGTCTGAGACCACTGCTGGGTCTCTCCAGCAGCTGCTCTGGACACGAAACAAGCACTTCTTCCCACACAAAATCCCTGCTCAACAAGGCATCAACATCTGCAGCTGCTTGCTCACTGTCTCCAGGAAGAAGAGAGAAGCTGAGAAATGCCCATCTGGATTTCTAGCACCTCCTGAAGCTACAAAGCATGGAAGACTCCTCGTGGACAAGGTGTAGCTGACTTCACTGGCAGAGCCTTCACATCAGCATTGAGCTTTTCACAAGGGCCACTGCTCATACTTACTGAGAATGGCAGGAGGTCCATGGGGAGGGACAGACCTCCAAGCATTACTGCCAGCATCACCACCAGAGACTTACCTTAATGATGTAAACTCTTACAAGAACCTTGATGGGCCTGTTCCTTGGAACTCCCTGGGAGACCCTGGGCTCTGGGCCAGCCTCCTCAGTGGGGTAGACACAGAAGGAGCCCTGCAGAAAAGACATTGCAGGTAGCAACAGATACAAAAGCAAATATCTCAGGTGGGATTGGAGCCACCAAGACCAGTTTGACCTGCCAACTGGTCAATCAGAGCCTTTGCCCCATGCAGACCACAGACACCCTGTGCCTATGGGGACAGTCCTTCCCAAAGGCACTGCCATGTCCACATGGCCCAGGCAGCCCCTGTTTGCAGGTCAGGCTGTCAGACCAAGGCCAGGAGATCTGAACATCCCCAGGCACTGCCAAAGGCAGGGGCACCGAAGGTTTTCTAGGAACCTTCTTACATCAGCTTCTGGAGTTGATATTTCAGAGCCTTCAAAAGCTCCTGGGTGGGAGGATGATGCCTCTTTTAAATGAGTTTTACTAATTTTAAAACCAGTGTCTCTCACAAATTCTTATTTGCACACTGAACACATCCAGAGGCCCCAGCCAATAGAAGAGTCCTTTATCACAGCGTCACCAAGGCTGGGAAAGACCTTTAAGATCACCAAGTCCAGCCCATGACCAACACCCCCACATCTCCAGACCAGGCCACTAAGTGCCACCTCCAGCCTTTCCTGGAACACCTCCAGGGATGGTGCCTCCACCACTGCCCTGGGCAGTCCATCCCAAGGTCTGATCACCCTTTCCATGGG